ATATAGTCTAAATCAGATCAGTGCATAGCTTAATACACATAAGGGTCTGCAGCAAAATTATATTTTTAATGTCAGCTGAAATCTGGTGTTATACTAGAAAAGGGCCCCCCCCGCTGTGCACAGCAGGTGGTGAAACAGGCCTGAACATAGCAAACCACTGCACAGGGACAGCAAAATGGAAGCCAATACAACTATGTGAAGGAGATCTTGAAAAACATCATAATTCCAAACCCTCACCATTGTTTTACACCAAAGGCATTTCCAATCTTGGAGACGGAGAACACTGCCACAGGTTTTGTCACACACTGCACACTTGGCGCTCACAGGCAAGTTGCCCTCCAGCCACTGGTGAGGCATCGCGACCTGCGGGGCATGAAGAAAGGGCAGCCAAAGTGAAGACTGTGGAGGACATCATTCTTACCCTAGGGAAGATATGGAACGGTTGCTTACTCTATGGACTCAACAGTATGCATCATGCATGGCATTGGCTCATTTATTCTCACATTTACTTAGCATCTATTATGCCTGATCCTGCTGGAATACAAGGTTAAGTAAGACAAAAACCCTCCCCTTTGGGATTCAGGTAGAGGTCTCGCTGAGGAGAAATATATGATTGCCAAGGGCTACCAGAGGTTTGGAGGTAAGGTAAAACAAAGGTAACACTTTGAACCTAAGAGTTATGGTTAAGAGGAGACCTCAGGGCTGGGGAGATGGCTCAGTGGAATGAATGCTTCCCTGGCAAGCACAAGGGCATGAGTTCAATCCCCGGTTCCACATTTAAAAAAAAAAAAAAAAGAGGAGACCTGAAAGTCTGAAGAATGAACATCTCTGTTGAGCTTTAAAGATCATGGAGTTCAGCAGGTAAGAGTTTATAACACCAGTCCCACCTGTTAGTCACCCCTAAACCCTACTGATGACAAATTTTTCTCAAAATACAAGAGCTGAGGACAGCTATGAAGCAATGAATTGAAAATAAAAACTCAGAATCAACTACTATCTTACTGAATCCTAACAATAAAGCTTCTTGTTTTACTATCATTATTTTTCATGCTCACTTATCTGCCTACCACTGTTTTCTGAAAGTGCAGACAAACAGAGGGGGGAGAGAGGTGAGGCGGGAGACAAAAAGCAGCTTACTCCATCTTCATCCTCCATGATGTCCTTCCCGATGGAGGCCAGCGTCGTCCACTTACAGTTGTTTGTTGCCCGCACGGCACATCTCTTGTGCGCCTTGAATTTGCACACTAAAAATATGAAGTAAAATAAGCTACTGTTTTAAAGTGAACAAGTTCCACCAAGGATTAAAGGAACTTATAGTATGAACTTTTAAAGGACTGGAAAGGAGAAAACCAACATTTCAAAAAGTTAAAACTAATCTCCAATGCTAGGTAATGGTATTTTTAAAGACTCATATAGCTTTGTGTTTAGGAAGTACTGAAAAAGTTCACAGATGGTTGTAATTTAGAAGAACAGAAATGAAATAAATTCAAAAGAATTAGTTCTTGAGATGAAGGGAGAAACAGGTACCTACACAAACAGGTTCTACCAAGTGAGATACAGTTACCAGGGTTCTGGAAACACCCCATTTCTTACTCTGGGTGGTGATTACAAGAATGTGTTTAATTTGAAAAAATTCATCCAGCTGTACAGTTCTGATAACTACTTGTATGTATATTTATATTAATAAGTTTGAAAACATCAATAATATAAAGATAATTCAGAGGAGTTTTGAAGTTAAAGAAAACAACTATGGGAAATGGGTTGATGCGGGCCACAAAGACAGCAGTGTTTTTCAAAAGTATTGCACCAAGGGGACCATATCATAACTGCAGGAGGAAAGACTGATGAAGGAATGTTGTCACTACTGAGTTCACTAATTCTTCCTAACTATATCATCGAGGAGTTTATAAAATGAGAAATAAGAGGAAAAAAGTAGGAGTGAAACAGCATATAAATGGAAAAATAAGGAAGCAACAGGTTAACCAAAAAATTAATCATGCTTTTGAAAACCGGACGTCAACTACTACTAAATACATTTATTTGTCTACAGATACAAATTCCCAAGCATTAATGGATGCCCAAGATATATCAGTTCCTGAATTTTTAGCTAAAAAGCTAAATGTAGAGATCATTTCAGTGGAATTTATCTATTTTTATTTTGTTAAATTGCTTTTCGGGGCTCTTTCTGAGACAGGGGTTCACTATGCAGTTCAGGCCGGCCTAGAACTCGAGGCCATCCTCCTGCCTCTTTCTCTCAAGTGCTGGGATCACGAGTGTGCACCACTATGCCTGGCCCATCTGAGTGGAATTTAATGAGGTAACTGTTACCACATTTAGATGTAGGATGGCTTTTCTTCATGTGACTTTAAAAAAAAATTCTAACATTTATAAATTTTGAATGATGATTTAGATACTATTCATTCTGAAGACTAGAAGTTTTGTTCTCCAATATCAATCAGAAGAATGATTCTAATGTTGTTCAAAATCCAAAACAATTTTTATTTTTATTTTAAATGTATTTAGTACAGGGTCTACAAGGTCTCACTATACAGATTGGATTCACA